TCAACAATTGTTCCTCCCTTGGCAGTCCCCGCGGGATTAACCCGTCGGGTTGAGTCTTCGCACCCCTTCGTGGTCACTTTGGAGACCTGCAGAACATCTCTTTCCAAAGACTCGTTCATCCAACGAACAGCGAAGCTCTGGAACACAATGCCAAGGGAGGTGTTCTCTGAGGCATATAACCTCCAGATATTCAAAAAGAACACCAATTAATACCTTATTTGCCTTGGTTCTCACGATGTTCCCTGAACATTACAGGATATCCCTTCTCGTGGCAACCAGAACATGAAGAAAACAATCATCCATCGAACATGATTGCATTATTGAGGCATTTATAGGGTGCAAGGCCAGAAAGTGAGCTCAATAATATTTTTCACCCGTTATATATTTTTTCGAGTTTTCCTGAATGATATCTCTTGCTTGTGATTTGTACTTTTATTCATTCTACCAAATTATTTTTCCCCAAAATGTCACTGAATCCAAAAATGTTTCTATCAGCGCGCCTGAATGGAGAATTCGATAGATTGTCAGTGACACCTTGTTTTGGGAATTGATCGAAAAAGAGAAATATGGATAGGTATATCGAAAATATACAAACTTTTCACTCAGCCTTTGACGTTTCGGAAACTGATCTGTTTTCGTTTTCAATATAAAAAATGGGAAATCTTCTTCTCGAATTTGATGAAATTGGTGAATTAAAGATGAATTATTGAGAACATCTTGTAACTCATTTGTTTGTATCAACATCTGTAACCGAAAATCATCAATACATTGAAATGAGAACACAATTCGAGGAGAATAATATTTTCCATTTTTTCAATTGTTGTAATATGTCGGAGGCGAAAGAATATATTGTGCCCAGGCGCCAAGTGATCTTAGTCCGGCCCTGCTGAATCAGTGATGTTTATAAAACTCGAATGGATAAGAAAATGCCCGTAATTTATAAGAACTCTAGACGTTTGCCATATGGCGGGTAACATTGCTCTCAGAGAAATTATTGTCACATTGATCTTGTAATGCTAGTGAAAGCAGTTTCATAATAATTTTCCGTTGTATGAGGAAACATTTTTATCATGTTAATCTCATGAATGGAGTAGATCTTCCAAAAAAAAAAATAGGGAAACGTTAAACAATAAAACTTTCAACGGCTGTACCTATTTCATAAACTGATATCAAAAATTGTTCAGAATCGGTTCTAGGTTAAGAGAGCTAACTATTGAATGACTAATAAAAACCACCCTCATTATTTCGTGAGTCATTCCAATTTCCTCCTCATTCTTTGATGAGATAATAATATGTACAATCAGTGACGATTTTCGAATCGCCACTATTTTAGCTATAGGTACGTACCTACAATAAGTCCCCAGATGATGTTCTAGCTAGATTTTCTTTATACAATTAGAAACCATTTTTTCCAAACGGAAATGCAGTGTAGGTACCAAGTTTGACAGCCATCTGTTGATCCTATTGTTTATTATTGCTATTCCAATTATTGATATTATTCCCATAGCTCAACAATTGACAGGAAATGATTGAGTGAACTTGCATGCTAATTTACGAGGTATGTACAAATCATGTCGAAGAAACATGATGATTATACGGAAACGTTTTCATAGTAAGTTATTATATAGTAGGTATCATGAAATGAAACAATAACTTTCTTTCTTACATTGGATTCCCTCGTTTTAACTCATCAATGACCACGTTTACACATACATTATGAATAATCTCGAGAACCAATACAGAAGAGATAAAGAATTGTTTGAATCCTTTCCTCTTTCTTCCTTCCTGGGTTTTATATTAACATCAAAATAGGAAATGGAAATATACGTAATCAGTTAGGCATCGCGTCCTAACGTGATACGTACAAAACAGAAATATGATCACAAATCATCGTCGAAATTCACGAAACCCTAATAACTATAACGTAACAACTACCGACCGATCGAACTGCTATCTATAATTTCAAAGATCATGGAGAAAGCTATCAACATCGAGCTCATGAAATACCTGGAACATTCAGGTATTATCAACGATATGCAATATGGTTTCCGTCATCAGAGATCAACTGGTGACCTGCTCGCTTACGTCTCACATATATGGCAGCAATCTATTGAAAAATATGGTGAAACCTTAGCCGTGGCACTTGATATCTGCATGACATTCGATCGAGTCTGGCGCCACGGACTCCTCGCCAAGCTTCCATTTTATGGCTTGCCTCCCCAGCTATGTTCTTTGCTAGCTAGTTTTCTCTCAAACAGGTCTCTCTATGTAGTGGTCGACGGAGTTTCATCTGACTTTCTCATCATAAATGCTGGTGTTCCGCAAGGATCAATTCTAGCACCAACACTATCTCTACTCCATATCAACGATTTGTTGGAAGCAACTTCATGTCCAGTACACAGCTTCGCGGATGATAGTACCCTCCATACCACCTTCTCTTCCAGGGCTCCAATACCAGCCAGGCAAATCAGAAACGAACGGGGGAGAAATGTTTACAACATAAACATGGACTTGGCAACAATTCTTGAATGGGGATTCAAAAACTTGGTAGATAATCCTAGAAAGGCCGATCTCACTGTGCCAAACATACACTAAAACTGATGGATTCTGTCCAAAAAAGGGCAATTCGACTCGTCGGTGATGCCTCTCTCACAAACTCACTCACTTCTCTGGAACACCGTAGACAAGTTGGCGGTCTGGCTCTATTTTATGGATATTTACATGGACGATTCTCTTTTGGAATTTCAACAATAGTTTCTCCCTTGGCAGTCCCAGAGTGGTAGTTTATTCGTGCAGTTTTTCATAAATCCTTGCTGACCGACCATTTCTGGTGCACATGAGTATCTGAATATCTTATGTAGTTATATTTATGCCACCAGTGGAATCATGTTGATCCACTCCTTCAGAGGAGTAGTTTATTCCATCTGTTTTTCGAAAATCCTTGCTGACCGGGCCTTTCTGGTCCATATTTTTCCATCAAATCACCCCCTGACGGGGTGTATCGGAATAATTCTACTGGTGGGATCTATAAATATATTATATGAGATATCCGAATATGTAATTTGATGGAGAAACGCGAACCATAAATGCTCGGACAGCAACGAATTTTGAAAAACTGCAAGAATAAACTTCCCCTTTGAAACGGTGGATCAAAATAATTCCACTGGTGGCATTTATAAATCTATATGAGATTTCCAAATGTGTTATTTGATGAAAGAATACGAACCAGAAATGCTCGGTCAGTAAGGAATTTCGAAAAACGGCAAGAATAAACTACCCCTCTGAAAAGGTGGAAGGTGGATCGAGATAATTCCACTAGTGGCATCAATATATCTATACGTATAAGAGATCCAAATATGCAATTTGAAGAGAAAATTCGAATCAGAAATGCTCGGTCAGCATAATATTTTAATTTTGTTCAGCAAATTATATACACCCCATACAAGCGGTTGTCCTGCTGGAAGCGCATTTAGGAATACTTTTGTACGTCCTAATGGCAGCACATATTGAAAAATGAGTCGCAACAAGTGAGCTAGAGCATTTGAATGTCTGAGGATACATTTATCTCTATATGAAATACATGGTGGCACACTGTCGATGGTACCTTAGACGTATACGGAAAACGGTACATTGGATTATCCTCGAAATTTGGTAATCCTGATAAGCGTTTGTGATCTAACAATTCGAAATATTCTCAGCGATGCAGCGTTGCCACTTTTACCAAAAGTAGCATCATCTTTGTTATTTCAAATGGAACACCCTGTATTTCATTGCGTTTTTAGATTCTTCTCGAAGAGCTGATTTTATCAATGTATCACACTTGGGTCTAGCAAGAATTATTACAGAGATATAGGGTGTTCAAAATCGAGATTTTTCAATTTCAGGAATTTTTTGTGTCGAAACTATTCATTATCGATCAAAACGACTTACATGTCTCTATCTCAACTTTTGATTCACTATCTACTGACAGTCAATTGGAACATATACAGGGTGATCAAAATTCTGAATCTTGGACCATCCTGTATTTTTTCCAATTGAATGTCGGAAGATAGTTAATCAGAGGTTAATATAGGAACATGTAAGCCGTTTTGACCAATGATGAATAGTTTCGACACAAAAAAATCCTCAAGTTGGAAAATCTCGATTTTGAACACCCTATAACTCTGTAATAAATTCTGCTAGACCCCAAGTGTGATACATTGATGAAATCAGCTCTTTGAGAAGAATCTAAAAACGCAATGAAATTAAGGGTGTTCCATTTGAAATAACAAAGATGATGCTACTTTTTGGTAAAAGTGGCAACGCTGCTTCGCTGAAAATATTTTGAATCGTTAGAGATCACAAACGCTCATTAGAGTAACCAAATTTTCAGGATAATCCAATGTACCGTTTTCCGTATACGTCTAAGGTACCATCGACCGTGGGCCACCCTTTATATTCGGAAGTAATACAACAAAGTTTCGTTGAATTTGTCTTCTTTTTGTAGCTTTTTACAAATCGAAAGAAATTATTCTATGCACTCAGTGTATATCTATCCTTCTTTTTGAAGTTTAGTAAAAAGAGAAATGTATTCACTGAGTGCGCACTAGTTTTACCAATGGAATCCGCTATACAATCAGGCAGTTGAAAAATAACTGTGAGTCAAGATTTCACAAGAATTATCTTCCGTTGCAAAAATGATATAAATCGATGAGTAAATTTTATGAAATCAGAACTGATATTTATTCTGAATTCTGAAATGAGCTTTAATGAAATTGATTTCTTTTATACTACTACTCGCAGACCTCCAGGACTTGCCTACGGCTCGATCCAGAATTTCGTCCCCTCCTCCAAAAAACAGTATTTTCCGGACCTGTCACATAAATTACTATTTCCTGCCTATAACCTGACGCATCCGTAGTGACGGTATATCATAAGAATTATCTTCACGATTGTAACGAATTTTCATCTAGTAAAAGCATATTATTATGATCTAGAATTATGAACGCACATTACCATACTTCATTGTCTAATCAATTGTCTCTGCCTGACCTGAATAATCAGTAAGAATACGAAATTGCTTCACAAGGGGCTAGGATGAGGATATTCGAAGGTATCAGAGACATGATCAAGAAATTCTGGATCAGGAAGTACCGAAACTATGAGGTAGCAAATTGCTTCGTTTGTGCAATAAGAATGGCAGTTGAAGTCCCCATTTACTCAGCTTACAGAGGACATTGTGAACACTTGAACCAAAAGTTCAAAACGTCCAGGTTTGAAATCGGCTTCTATGGTTTTTATTCCGGTTTCTTGTTCATCTTCATATACTTCATTGGAAATTGCCTGAGCTTGTACTGGATATCAATATCATGTCAAGTTGAAGATCAGTGTTGGCTCAGTGTCACACACGGTATGTACTCAGCTTCTGCCTTGATCACCATCATCCTATTCTTGGCAAAATCGAAACAGCTCTTGCTGTTTTTGAATAGTTGGTGTCAATTGATTGATTCATTCAGCTGCGTCTTCCCACATCTGATAAGGAAGGAGTTCTGTCTGAGATTCAACCAAGAAACAAGCCTGTTGAGAGTATTTATAATCGGTATTCAGTTAGGACAAATATTCGGTATCGTCTACGTCACTAAAAGAGAGGAGTCCTTCTTGAAATTGGTTTTCCTAACTACGAACATCTCCAGCAGGACATTCATGTCTTTCACATTGATTGCGTTCAATCGTATCAACAAACTGTACAGGAGCATACATTCTGAAGCTCTGGATGATTTGAGACGACATTTGGTGAGGGCAGTTGAAGGAGAAATAACATTGCAGAAGCCCCTGAGGTTCTTCATCAGACATTTCATCAGATTCCACTCGGCTGACTTCGAGGTTTTCGAATACGTTAACAATTTTCTAGATCCTGGATATTTTCTTTGGATCCTGACTACTAGTATATTCCTGATAGACAACATCTATGTGACCCTTATCGTGAAGTGGAATGATGACAACAAGACCGAATTGTTGTTCCTCCAAGTTGATACTGCCCTCAACGTCGGATACATTATATTTTGGGTTGTTTCGATGGACACTCAAAGATGGGTAAGTGACAAGTTAGCATTAGAATACACTGGCCCGCAATTGAAGTGGGACATCTCACATTTTCGCACGAATTCGAAAGATTGAAATTAAAAAATAATCACCCGATTTCTCTTCGGTATCTAGATTTCAGAAGCTCATTCTATTGTCTTCACAACCATAAATTTGAAGAACGAAAATGAAAATGAATTGATTTTTCACAGGGCGATGACTGTCACAATACATTTGGAGTGATTCAACCCCTGCGTTCAAGATTATTCCTCCTGATTCTCTCATTGTTTCATGGAGGTTGATGTGATATCTAGAAATTTTTTTTGTATTTATTGAATGATTGCATTGTTTCGTTAAAATGTTTCTGCTACTTACCCAGTTTCTGCCTTGATCACAATCATCCTATTCTTGACGGAGCAGCTAATGCTCTTTTTGAATAGTTTGTGTGAGTTGATAGTTTTATTCACAGCTCAGTATTCTCACCACTGTCTCAGATTCAACCAGGAAACAAGGTTGTCGAAGGTGATTATATTTGGTATTCAGTTAGGACAGATATCTGGTATCATCAATGTCGCCTCAACAAGCTGTACAGGAGCATACATTATGAATGTTTGGATGATTTGAGACGACATTTGGTGAGGTCAGTTGAAGGAGAAATAACATTGGAGAAGCCCCTGAGGTTCTTCACCAGACATTTCATCAGATTCCACTCGGCTGACTACGAGGTTTTCGACTACGTCAACGATTTTCTTAATCCTGGATAGAAAACATTTATGTTACCCTTATCGTAAAGAGGAATGATGTCAACAAAACCAAATTTTTGTTTCTTCAAGTAGATACTGCCCTAAAAGTCACATTCATCATATTATGAGTGGTTTTGATGGACACCCAGAGCTGAGTGACAAATTAGCATGAAAATATAGTGCCCCGCAATTGGAGTGGGACACCTGAAAGTTTTGCTTAAATACGTAAGATTATAATTTCCAGAACGAATTTCCAATTTCGAATCAGTTTGCAGATTTCAGAAGCTCATTTCATTGTATTGAATTTACTCGACCGTTATTTGATGGAAATCCATGGCGAATGTAAAAATTCTCAATCACACGAAATGTTTCGCTAACACAGTAGTTGCATTTGGTGACATACTGGTACAATATAAACTAAACTAACCTTGGCTTGCATGACTTTCATATATCCTACCTTCCCAACATAAACGATCAGAATTACCTGTGGACAAGTTTGATATACCTTCATTTTCGGAAATTTGGCACAATATTTACATTGCATTACGGTGTCCGGATTAACTTGAAAGGGTTGATAGCAATATCATATTATCACCTACTAAGAAAACTAAGGGAAATTTTTAAATTTTTGATTGATTGAGTTTTATTCCGTTACTATGGTTTTCTTCTGATATATGATTGGCATATGTTGGATTTGTTTTCTTTTTCGAAAAATGCATCTTTCGTTTATGCATTCGCTGATTGAACGAACGATCTGTCTGACCGACATTTACCTCAGGACAAGATTCACAGTTGAGTTTGTATACTCCTGATTTGTCGAATTCAGAAATTTTGTCCTTATTATCTCTGATAAACCAGCCCAATATGTTATTTGTTCTAAAGTAAAGTGATTTAAGTAACAAGTCCGGAAGATACTATTTTTTGGACTTGTAGACAAAATCCTAGGCCGAGCCGTAGGCAAGTCCTGGAAGTCTGCGATTAAAAAAAAACTGGTTTTGGACGTGTTGCGTACACTATTTTTACGGCAACCATTTAGAATAACGAATCAATGAGACACATTCCCATATTATATTTCCTTGTATATAGAATACAATATCTCCTTTATTTATTCTCATTTTGTATCAGATACTGAAATCCGAACAGAATACCTATACATACCAACTGTTACATTGGAAATTTCGTAAATACATCTTCAAACTCACTATCGCAGCTGCTTTCGATAGTTTATTACGATAATAATAATACGATATAATAATAAAATGTCAACTAATTTCATGTCAAATAGCTGTCAGCCGATATTTAATAATAATAATAATAATATAATAATAATAATCTCTATTTTCCTTTAAGACAAAGTTACAAAATTTGTATAGGAATCGTCAAGAAACAAGAAGAGAGGAGATCGGAGATTAAACAATCCTGAAAAAAAAGGACGAAACTACCTACTTATACACAAAAATTCTTCAAAACTATAATAACACTTATCAACAAGATGAATCTTGAGTGTTCGTTTAAACATTGAAACAGTTTTGGATTCGTTTATAAAATCTGGTAGCAAATTATAAACACGTGGAGCCATCAGGTCAGGAGATTCGAAAGCTAATTTGGTTTTTCCAAATGGTACATAAACATTGTTTTTTTGTCTTGTATCAATATTATGTTTACATTTATTAAGTACAAAGAATTTATTTCTATTCTCGAACACAGATAAGCACAAGTCAAAAATTAAAAGACTAGGGACAGTTAAAATTTTAAAATTTCTGAAAGCTGGTCTGCATGAAGCTAAGAGACCTATGCCACTAATAATTCGTATGAGTTTTTTTTTGTGCTATGAAGACATCAGAGCAGCTAGAGGAAAAACCCCAGTAGCACACTCCATATCTCAGTCTGGAATCCACCTGAGCATAGTACAGCTTCAGCAGCTGATCATCATTTGAAACCTGCCTTATATTCCTGAACTGATATGAAATAGAGTTAATTTTTTTGATCAGAAAATCACAGTGATTCTGCCAATTCAAATGTTCATCAATGTGAAGACCTAAAAATTTTAAGCTCTCACACTCTGTTGTTACAGTGTCAGAATTATCATTAGCTCTAAAGCTTATGATATCACACCTCCGTTGCCGATGATGGAACATCATTGAATCTGTTTTTTTCGCGTTCAAAAACAAATTGTTTGCAGAAAACCATTTGTTGATATTTTCAAAAACATTGTCACATTTTTCTTCCAAAACATTTTTTACTTACATTAGTAAATAAGTTACGGCTCCGGCAGCTGTTCGTCTTGGTGAGCAAAGGTGTAGGTAAGGGTTATGTAATCACTTTCCATTAAGATAGACCATTTCTTATCAAATGATGGAAATTACTTTTGGGCGCCACTTGGCTCTATAAATTCATTAAATTACTTCTTCACTGAGGGTGGGAGCAATGGAAAGCCAAGAAGCACTACTCAAATTATATAAAAGTTAACAAAAAAACTAATAAAGAAGGATTTATGAACTGCATCGGAATTTTTGTATTTCTGTGAGTACCTGAAGAAATTAAACACCAAATAACTCGACAAACATTTACTTCTAAAAAGAAAATCACCCTCGACAATTAAACTGGGAAATTGTACACCAATGAGATAATCGTAAACTATGTTGCATAAATCAGTACTCACGTGGTAACTACCTAAGATAGATGTTATAAACCATTTACAATAGACTGTGAAAAATCAGTGAATCAGCGACCACTCAGTATACTGTGTGTTGCGTCATATAGGCATGATAATGCGGGTGAATATAATGTCATTTACTGGCGCAAAATCTAGGCAATCACCATTTTGTATAATACGAAACCTAAATAGGAAAATATATAGGTATATGATAATAAAAAAGACGGTATAGCTTTCCTGGTTACGTGCGGAATAAAGATCCCACAGGTGTAGAATCCCTCACTGCTGGGTCCAAGGTGATCTTCTAATAGGCATTAGAGGAGTCTGGTAGGGCTCGCCTGTTCTCGGCGTTCCATATCCAGAATCGAGGAGAAGAGGAAAATAGGGTAGAGCATGTTCCTAACTACCACGTACAACCCTGGAGTATAAAAAAACACCTGTGACCAACTATTCCCGTTAGATGGGTTTTCAACTAACTTACCCCGCAAAGGAGGGTTGACTTGTAGTTAACAGGATTTTAACGTTTTCTCGTACACAGGTCAGCGT